GAGCATGAACGGGGGAGGGTCAGAGAGAGGGAGACACAAAATCCGAAACAGGCTCCAGGCTCTGAGCTGTCAGCACAGAGCCCGACGCGGGGCTCGAACTCACGGACCACGAGATCGTGATCTGAGCCGAAGTCGGCCGCTTAACCGACTGAGCCACCCAGGCGCCCCCGTATTTGACAATATTAACCGTGACAACTGAATGGCTTATGGGTACAGACTGTACGGAACAAGGGTGCGCAGAATCAAGGGCTCACTACATGGAGCTGTGATCGTTATAGGACTCTCCGTGCTAAATCCATATGGAATGTGAGAAGTGTCCACACACCCTGGCTTAGTGCTTGGGGTGAGGGGAGCTCACCCCCCCCAGAGTGTTCCCTGCATTCGGGGCTGTGTGATATGCCAATTCTTGGAGAGGCAACCCTGGAAATGAGCAAGGAATGTTCACTTGCAGCCGGGGAGATGGACGGTTGACCAGATGGCCGGGGAGTCTGGCCGATGGAGAGTCTCTATGGGCTGCTCTCTGGGAGAATGTGGCCGGCGGGGGTGCCCCCGTCCTGCTTGCCGCCCAGTGCCCCCCCCACCCCAGCACCTTGTGCAGCCCTCGGCAATCCAGCATGGCTGTCAGCTGGTGAAGGCCGGACTCCGACGAGTTCAACAGGAGCTGGATTCCGAGCAGGTCTTTCTGAAGCAGGAAGAGGCAAACACACGGACAGGCAGAGAGACGGAGAATGAGCGGTGGGGGAGGGCTTGTGGATAAAACCTCAGAGAGCGGCGTGTGCAAAGAGGCCTTTAGAGCCAGAGGGAGGAGGGGGACTAGACCCCTGGGGAGGGGAGTGCTCTCCACAGCCTGGCTCTGCAAAGCCATGGGGTCCAGAAGGGGTGAGGTAGAGCGGGGAGGAGGGGAGAAGGGTTGTCGGGGTCTAGCTGGGGCTCCCCCTGTTCCGGCACGGATCCGGGGGGAGGCAGCCGCCTTACCTCCGCCGTGGGGAAGAGGGGCACGGCAAACTGTAGCAGACCGGCCACCTGGATCTGCATGGTGGTGAGCGAGCGCTGGAAGATGGTCAGTGCCTGGCCAGGAGAGACCGCAGCCCTGCCGTGAGACTCCCCTTCCCAGGCGCTGTTCCCCGGCAGTCCTGCCCCCTAGCGTCCCTGATCCCGGCCCTTCCCCTCATCCCTCAGGTTTCGCGGGAGCAGCACGGTCCCCTGGCTTCCTGCTACTCAAGGTGTGGTCCTTGGATAAGCGGCATCGGCCTCGCAATGAAGCCAAAAGCACACAGCCACCTACACCTTACTGGTTGGTGTTGGGGCTTGGGGTCAAGGGGGGGGCGGTAGGCAGGGCGAGGACGGGGCAAGGTGGGCATACCTGCTGGAAGGGGCTGCTTACGCTCTGACTGCAATATAGGTAGTAACGGGTCACCTCTGCAAGGCAAAGGCGTCGGCATCAGGCAGGAGCTCACAGGTGACCGGACCGTCATCCATCCTCAGTGGTGAAGCCAACCCCCAAACTCCCAAAGGAGGGCGCTTCTATGAAATGGCCCAGAGGTCCAGCTGGACCTGAGGTTGGGGGGTGGGGAAGGGTAGAGGACTACAGGGCCGAAAGGTACGGTTCGCCGTAGGCCTGGTCTGAGTATTTAGAGCCGCTCTTGACAATACAGGGCCCGAGGGGGGGTTACCTGTGCGGATGTGGTCCTCTGTGATGTTCAGGATGAAGGTGTCGGGAGCTGAGCAGAAGTCACTGGTGCCCTGAGCCAGAGAGAGACGGGAGGGTAGAGGAAAGTTACGACACCGGGGTCCCGGCTGGAGTCAGGCACCCTCGGCCCCAGCCGCTCGGACCCCTCCGCTCAGTCCTGGGTGGAAAGCAACAGGCAGGAGCCAACTTCCCTGGGCCTGAATCCTGGCTCTGCCCCTTCCTAGCTCGGTAAGTCTGGACAGTGACTTACTCTTTCTGTGTCTCAGCTGCCTCGTCAATAACACGGAGAGGAAAACGCTATCCACCTTAAGAATTAATCTGTGTAAAACACCCCGGGTGTTTAATGACCCTGGCTTGGTCATTAAGCGTCTGACATGGCCCAGGCCGTGCAGCGTTGGTGGCATAGTGGTGAGCATAGCTGCCTTCCATTAAGCATCTGACTTTGGCCCGGGGCCACGACGTCACAGTTCGTGAGTTCGAGCCCCGCTTCGGGTGAGCCCCGCTTCTCTCTCCCTCCCTCTTGCTCTCTCTGCCCCTCATCCACTTGCGCCCTCTCTCTCAAAAAATTAAAATCGATCCATCAATCCAACACCCAGAAAAGTGACTGGCGGACAGCCAGCACTTGGCATTGTTACTGCTCTTTATTTCTCAGTGCCTGGGATGGACCTGAGGGGTCCGTGAACCTGCAAGACGTGTGATGGGGATTTCCTGCACCATGGCCATTGCTGACCTCTGTTGTAGTTTTGTCTTGCTGTTACTAAGCCCCACATGCTTTTGGGGTGTCAATCTATGAAGCGTCCCCCGGACTCTCTTCCTAAAGGATTCTGTTGGCATCGGATCCACCTCTGAGCCTTTGGGTGCGGGTTCTGCTCAGGATAAGATGTGAAGGGGGGGAAGGAGAGTTAGACTACGGGGCTTCGGGCTCTGACGAACCCGAGGGCCTGGGCCCCCCAGCATGGCCCGGAGAGGTGACCGCTAAGGGCCCATGGACTGTTAGGGGCAGGCCGGGGGCCCTGGGAGAGGGAGCGGCCAGGATGGCATCCTCTGAGCCAGGCCTTTCCCAGGTCCAGCCTGGGGGTATGGTGGAGCATTGGGTAAAGGAGGCCTCCCCTCTTATAGAGCAGTCAGAGTAAGCTCTGGTCCTCCAGCCTGTTCCTAGGGGCTCCCCTGCTCCAGGGAGTGCTCCCTGAGCAGGGACCCATCCCCACGGCCCCCGCACTGCTGGTGCCCTGCCCTCCTTCAGGAGCAGCTGCAAGCTGGGGCTGCTTCGTTCATTCATTCACAGAGTCGATAACTACTTATAAAGCACCTATCAGATGCCCTGTGCTGCTAACACTAGGCACGAGTATAGTGGCCAACTGCATTGTGGTATTTACAGGCTTTGGGTAGGGTTGGGGAATAAGATGCCCCTTTACGTTTTTTTTTCTTAATGGTTATTCATTTTTGAGAGAGACAGAGAGCAAGCAGGGGAAAGAGAGAGAGACGGAGACACAGGATCTGAAGCAGGCTCCAGACTCTGAGCTGTCAGCAGAGAGCCCGATGCCGGGCTCGCACCCACGAACCGTAAGATCATGATGTGAGCCGAAGTCAGACGTTCAACTG